GGACCTTGTAGAGTTATTGACCTCTGCACTAACATCACACTATATTGCTTCCAGCTTAACTGTTTTTTAAGTGATACATTTATTATTGATGAAGGGTTACCATGTTTGGTTATAAAAATGGCACCTTTCATTGTAAAGATGTTTCGTATTTTTTATTTGTGTGTGTGTGTGTGTGTGTGTGTGTGTGTGTGTGTGTGTGTAGTTACATCTTTTAAGGATATTATTACAAATACCAGTAAAATTGGGCAACTTTGTCTTCATTCAAACAATACATTTGCAAAGTAGGACTAATAGTTTAGGGGAAACATATTTTTTCCTGTCCGAAATTAGTCTCACTAGCACGATGCAAGGTTAATGCACTCTAATGTTTAAGCAGCTCTGTTAACATTTGTCCATTCTAATGACAAATGTATTTCCAAAAGCCTCCTATAGATGGAAGCACTGACTTATGTCCAGTTGCAGTCAAATCATTGGAATTTATCATAAGGCAATTGTTTTCTTAGAGAGACAATAAATATATAGAATATTCTCGTCCGAGTTTAAAATCAGTGAACTAGATGATATTGTGTGAGGGGCACAACAAAAGTGATGCTAACTATATCTAAAGTGATATCTATAAAGGTGATAACCTCGTAAAAACATGTTTAGAGAGCCTGTTCCCCTCTTTTTATTATTACACTGTAGTAATTTCAAGGTATTATAAGGAGAACTCGATGTGTGAATCGCGTGTGATAAATGGTCCAGCTTAATTAATCTCTAACAAAATAAGTTGACATGGCCTGTCTTCACATATTTCTTGTCACTATTGTTCACTTTTTCATATCTGAACCAAATCTTTTTTTATCTTCTTCTAACTTCTTTAGTCTTTAGATTGAACACAATCGTCTTATTTCTACACTGATGAGAGGCGGAACTAAGGCGCTTGAGCGCGACTGCAGCACCATGGATAGCGGCTGAGAGTCTTGTTTTTATTCAATTCACTTCATTCCACTGCTTGTATTCCAAATCTGCACCAATCTACACCAATTTTATATTAGGTAGATCTTCCAAAAGCACGTACTCTTTATAAAATTGAACTCAACTACTTTAGTTCATGCAAAACTTTATTTTTTGGTCCCCGTTCCAGTTCAAGTGCACCTATACAGACTGATGAAAAATGGTGTGTGGTTCCAAAAAGAATCTTTGTTGAGAAACATGTGCTTTTGTCATGATAATTCGGCAATGCATGGCTACAAAGCACTGCACGCCTTTTCGATTTGTGCATCCAAAATAGGTCGTTACAACAGACTGTTTGATCAGTGTCTGTGCCCTCCACTTGTAGACCTATATAAAACCGGCCACACATTCTTAGATCAAATGAACCGCCGGACAAAACGACCCATTACTGTGTGCAGAAGACCCCCATCAGCAAGCAACATTTAGTCAACCGTCAGACATTGGATGGGTGGGATCGCCTAGTTACAGGTTAAGAAATTTGAGCAACAGGCTCAGTGTGTATTCAACTTTCTTTTTTGAAGTTAACAGATGGGAGAGACGTCTGAAGAAAACGATGCCATGCGAAACAAATGCGGGCAAATAAGAGTTATGGCAAAGGAGATTTCTGTTTGTTTATTTGTATGATTTGTACAAATCGACCCCAGAAATGGAAACGAAACGAAATTAAAATCAAAACCTAGTTCAGAATGGCTAACATTGTTTTAAACATTTTAACATCCCCACAAATTAAAGGCTATAAACACAAAGGCTATATTTGAGCTCATTCTTTCACAGTTTAATATTTTAAACTGTTGTTTGAACTGTCTTTATGCAAAATGTATGTGCATCGTAACATCAATAGTGCATCCCTCACTCATTTACAATCCATCGACGGTTGGTGTGATTTTGCCAAGTACAATGCGATCATGGATTAACATCTATGTTAATTTAACATTTACATTGACATTTAGTCTTTAAGCAAATGCTTTTGTCCAAAGCAACTTACAATTGGGGAGGGATTCAGTGATTCAACATAAAGAGGCAATACAGACAAGAAGTGTTAGTTATGATTTTTGTTCGAAAATTTAATCCATACCTAAGCCCTGCCCCTTAAACCCAACTCTAACTGTAATAATAGCTGAATAGCAATCATAGAAGTACACTAAAAATAATAATAATAATAATAATAATAATAATAATAATAATAATAATAATAATAATAATAATAAGTTGGCAATCTCAAAACTCAAAGCAGGAAAATATTCTAAATCTTCAAACTAAAGTGGAGATTAAACTCTAACAATTCTTATATAAATACTTTTATTTTCACCATTTCCTTCTCTTAATTCAATCCTACACAAAGCATGCTGAGAACTACAAATCCCATAACCAGGTAGTTGGATTCCCTTAAATTGTCCCAAAACAAAACGCCTAAATTAACTTAATGGTTTACAAATATAAGTGGACTTAACAAAAAACAAAGAAATTGGCCAAAGAATTACAAGGCTTGTGTTGTTTCAGCTTATTTTAAACGGGTATACTTTGAACAGGCAGCCTTAATCTTTTTTTGTAAAACTGTAAGCCTAAACTTAACCATCTGTAAACGTATCCAATAAATCTGAATGGCTGATTAGAATGTTGTTCCAGGATCACTATAGATGTTGATTCAAGAACATGTCCTACTTGGTGAAATGACATTAAGCTTCTTAGCCTCTGCTTTATCAGTAATCGCCTCAGCGAAATGAAGCGCCATTTACTTAGACATATGTTTAACCGGCGTTTGCCCATAACCCTGCCTTGAGAGAGCACTGCCTCCAGGGCTGGGAAACAACCATACAGTCTCGCATACTCATTTAGACTCACTACAGCGAATTTAGTTAAGCCAATTAGCCTTTACCGCGTGTTTTTGGACTGCGCTCCCGGAAAAAACGGCTCGAACAGAGAATATGCAACCAACCAGCCAGAACTCGACCCTGCGACTTTCTTGTGTGAGATGACCCACTAAGCCACCGTGCAACCCCTGCAGTAGTGCATATCCTAAATACTACATACATCCAAATTAGACTATTTTTAAAAATAAAGGTTCCTTCTTTGTTTTTAAAGAACCATTTTTGGTGGCCCTCAATTATATTTTTTCTAGTTTGAATAAAATTTTAGTAACAAAAAGGACATTTTTAACTATATATAAAGACCATTTTGAGGGATGTAAACAACAACAATAGCCCTAACATATTTCCTGTTTTACATTTTTAATTTCTATAGCTTCCGGGAATCCAAAAGGGTCTGTATATTGATAAATGATGTAATGGCAGCTTTGAATGCTAAATTATGACTGAATTGCATCTTGATATAGTTATGAAACAGTTTGACAATAAGCAGGAAATGTTCATGGGCAAATGACATCGCCACATTGAAATAGTTTATATGTTAGAGACTCTGAACCCTCGAAGCCAATAAAGAACCTGTGTGTGTTTGATGACGTTCAAATCAAGTTAATCCTTCAAGAAAAGTTCAGTCAAGTTATTTTATTTTTTATTTTTAGCAACTAAAACTTGAACTTCTTTTAGTTTTGATTGAAAGGGATTTGGCTTTTTAACGCAAGTCTTTTCATGCAACTCTAAAATATGCAAATTTACCAAGTGTCTCTTTAAAAGTGGAGCTTGTTTACACAAACAAACCCGAAAAGAGCCCTTTACCTATAATTGGGTGTGTAATTAAACCCTCCGCGTAATTTGCTCTAGTACAGTAAATACACCCTTAAGTGTTCATTCATTCAAGTTAATTCAAGTTCATTCAAGCTAAAGTTGTGTTGAAGAGGAAGTGTTCATTCTTGGTGGAATTATTTCCACGCACAACATGAAAGCCTCTATCAATAGTAACTCAAACGACAATCTTCAGAGCTTTCCAGTAGGTGTTTTACTTTTATGTTGATAAGTGTTTTCACCATCCCCGGCCCCCCACCCCCCAACGGTCTTTCCGTTTTACGTTGCATCCTCTACACTAGCAGCAGGGAGCGAGCATTACCCGGGGCCGCGGAGAAAGCTTGACTCACAGTGTGTTGTGTCCAGTGGTTTACACGTTCTCCCCCACAAAGCAATGACGCACAACATCCACAACTACACGCTCGTAAGAGGTCAGCAACAGAATTGTCAGGCTGAATTATCTAGCATACCTTACGATGTCCAAAGGCTGCATTGCACTTCTTTACAGACTTCATAAATAGTTTGCACCCTTTGTCATTTTGTTAACAAGTCTTAATGTCATCTCGCATAGATTTTCTTATTTATCCTTACAATGGCGTTTTTTTTATTCAGAGAACAATATTTTCTCTCTCTCTCTCTAAACTCCTGCTTGAATAAGTATTGCAATTCTTTTGAATTTAACTTGAATTCGAGTTTTTTTCCTGTTATTGTTCATTTATAGAACAGTCTCCTGTCTGACAGTGTAGTCTGTTAACGTTGTGATTTCCGATACATCCTCCCATACATAAATTATTTTATTTCTGTCCGATTATAGAAGAAGCTTACACAAAGGCATAACAACTATATAGCTATATAAAACTATCATGTTAAACCTTTGAAAGCATTAGCACTAATCCTAATTACGCAAACAATTTTTCAGAAACCTAAAAAAACATCCTTACTTTCCACCTGTCCCCTAAAAGTGTTTGTGTCTTAATGTCGACGATTCCCCAAGTTTGTTTGAAACAGCAGATATCCAAAATATATTGGCATGATCACACATCTATAACCTTTAGGAATAATTAAATGATTTAAACATTATGCACGAGATGACATTAACATATTCGAATTCGAGTTAGGTGTCTATGTTTGAGACTGATAAAGACACCATTTCTATAGACAAAGCCAAAGTCTGCCAAAGTCAACGAATGATGATTTATAGTAAGGGATTGGTTATGACGTTTGCTTCTCAGTTCGCACGCGCGCACACACGCGCGCTGTAGTCTCACTGCCCACGGCATGGACGTGCGCACATTATAAGGAATCAGTGTGCTCGGAGTGGCGCAGAAGGCTGCTCCGTCATGCACTAGGTAGTGTGTGATGTAATTTCGCTGCAGATATAAATATCGTCGGCAAGGGAAAGTATACAGCATGGCTGTGCGTGGCTAGGATTCACAGTCAAAATTTTCCAACTCTTTTTGACAGCTTGAACAACAGTCTAAAGTATATTGTCTTGAGAGGAAACCCACTGAGCGCGACTTCATGCCGCTCACTTGGGTTGACCGTAGCTCTGTCCGTGAGTAAGCTGTTTTGTGCGTCTTTTTGGCTGCCGACTCAAGCATAGAGAAAAACGGTAGCCGGTGTCTTCAACTCCTTTTAGAAGGATGAGTGTCCAGTCGGCCCTCTTGCCAATCCTGGTCTTAGGACTAATGACAAGCTCTGTGCGCTGCGCTCCGCTGCCCGGTGGACACAGCGGCCCCGTAGAGCGACGCTGGGAGACCCTCTACTCGCGTTCACTAGCACGAATCCCCGGGGAAAAAAGAGATATCAGCAGGGACAGTGATTATCTCACGGGCATCAAAAGACTCCGACGTCTCTACTGCAACGTTGGCATTGGGTTTCATCTTCAAGTATTACCGGGTGGTAAAATCACCGGCGTACACAACGAAAACCGCTACAGTAAGTTTAATCTGTAATTTAAAATTGTGCTTGCTTAATGGGCTGTGTGAATGACGCTGAATGACATTTAGAATTAAGAATTTGAATATCTAAAACGAATTTAACACTAGAAACAAACCCTTCATGAACGCAAGACGCGCGCAACAGTTGTTATTCAGCTGTTTACTGTAGTAATATAACTTTATCCTATTAATGAATCCAGCACCATGCCATGCTGATAATATAAACAAAGCCTAATGTGTCGCTTTCAAATACATTTCACGAATCAAGGCAGGTGTGGAATCGCACTATAGCATCTGGCATCCTGCATTACGCACGCAACAGGTCTCTGTAACCAGAGCAGGACAGGAACCGGGCCAAAATCCCAAGCCTAAAGTTAGGAGCGGGATAAACTTATCCTTTACAGTTGATTAACCCTTCACATAAATGTTTTTTTTTTTAAGTTCTTTAAATCGTTTTTTTTACACGATTAACCTTTTTGTTGCATAGGTTTTTGAGTAGCTGTATAGCTATTTTGAAATAGAAAGATATCAATTTATAATTATTAAATATTCTTCAGACTACTTGTGACTACTTCTTTTTAACTAGCACAGATAGCTAAAGAAATAGCTATTAAACGGTTCTTGGAATAAATTGAAAACCTTTTAGAGATTTTAGAAGAATCAGGTATAAGAATAGATTTATGGGTCCATAATAGTCATTCTCCATACTCGTGTGCTCAATTAATGTATATCCAAGACCATAAAAAATATGACAACAGTATGTCAACAATATGACACGAAGGCGGTTCGTGTTTCCAAAGTCAAACTCAAGCTGTATTATATCCTGTGTTTACCTTGTTTGTCAACATGCATCACAGGAAAAACAGTCATTTTATTCACTTTTATGCACTAGAGGTGCATTTTACATTTTTTCTCCGTATACGAAAATCAGAAGTGCTATTCATATGACTTTCATATTATAATAAATTATATATATATATATTTTCTGACACGAAAGCGTCAAAGAAATAAACGTTGTAAGGATTGACTCATTGGAAAAGTAAGTAATTTCGACTAAAGATAACTCTTGGGGGCTTTTACAGAGACATAATAGATGCAATAATGCATATTGGAAATTTGAAGAGGCGGAAAGTGTCATTTCCTTCAAAAAGGATGCTCTGGCAAGATAAACGTAAACATGTACAATTTTTAGAAAGGCAGTCAACGCTGGGAGTTGCCAGACAGGGCTAAAGATATAAGCCAAACAAGGTCATTTATTTTCTTTGTTGTGTGTTTCAGGTCTTCTTGAGATATCTCCGGTGGAGAGGGGAGTTGTGACACTGTTTGGCGTGCGGAGCGGGCTATTCGTGGCCATGAACAGCAAAGGGAAGCTTTACGGATCTGTGAGTATGAAATGATTTACAACAGGTTTCCGCCCGTGAATGTGCTTATCAGAGCTCGATGACATATCACCCTGTACTTGAGATGTATCCCCTTGCCACCAACATCCCCCCTCCCAGTCCCATAGACTCCGACAGCGTTACATTGTTAAACTCAGTCGTGCCGTGCTTCCAGTGCTTAGTGGTGTTTTGTGGGATGGACAAACCCAGGAACGGTAGCGCAGTAGATCATTCGGACTACGCATTCCATTCTTAGCATTGCCAGCCAACACATGCACCTACTGTCCTTTCCAGAGTAAAGATGAACTGGCCAAAGAGGACCACCCAAACACCAAACTACACTGTAAAAAATGTTACTTAGATCTAACTTATAAAAAGTGAGGCAAGTGGTTGCATCGGACGTTTTAGGTTGATTCAACTTCCAGCCTTTTTTAAGTATTTTAAACACTAAAACATTGCTTAAAACAAATGCAATAAAATTAAGTTGAGCCAAATAATATTTCTAAAATTACTCAAATCAGATAAACTTACTTTTTTTGTTAAACTTAACTTACTTATACATTGCTATATGTTGACTGTACTCATTTTAATTAAGTATTATGAACTTAATGATCTAAATAAAATTAACCATGCATATGTCATTTAAAACGAATTTAATTGACTTCTGGCTGTAACCTCAGAAAATAAATCTTCGTTTCTATATTGTAAGCACAATATACACTAGTAAACACAGATAAACAGACTTTCCTGTCAATAACAGTTAAATAAGAATGGGAAGATGGATTAAAGACCATAACATGTATTCAATATCAATCAATGTTCCTTTTAATAGTGACTACAAAATAGGCCATTAATGTGGCTACACATACACAATACATAAATAAAAACATTAATAATACCAGATCCTATTGAGAAATCATCCAAGGCAACTCAGTGAGGAGATTTGCATATTTTGATGAAGATTTTAGATGCATAATGTCCAGTCCCACAAAGAGTCTCTAATACATCTTAAATGTATACAGTTTTGATGGATACTTGAAGTCGAGGACATCGGTAAGTCCAAACAGGAGCCATCATGCATTTGACAGGTTTGGCAAACCTCTGACAGTCCTATGATAATCCAAACTGTGTTGGGCTGATGGCAAATTTTTCCCGTGGGCAGCCGCATGCACCTCTGATTCCTCACAACTCTATTGGTAGAGACAAAAAGAAACAGGAGTTCAGGTGGTTGCTACCAAACAACATTAAATAGCTAAATACTAAATAGAAAATAACTACAAGTGAAGTTACAAAAGTCCAGTGAGAATGATGCATGGATGAAACACCTTAGTTTATCAGTTAAAAATTACCTTAGTTAAAATTACCTAACTTTTATTTAAAAAATAAAAAAAGGTTATAGAGGTTGTGTAATTACATTATTCCAGGTGTTTTTAGTTATCAAATTTTAAAGAAAACTGTGATTTTACTCAGTGTAACAGTGCATGTCATTGTGGTTTCCTGTCAATCAGAGAAATTGTTAAAATTTAGGTATTACATTTTTTTGTTTATTTTGGCAACTTATAAAGCATAAGAATGTGTATTTAATTTAGATATTAAAACTGTTTGAAAACGGCTATAAGAAAATTATAGAATACAAATTCTATAATTTAATTGTCATCTTCATTTTGCACCAAACTTTGCACGTCATAATACAAATTTTATTAAATAAATAAATAAATACATTGCCATTTTACACATTACATTAAGGTTTACATTAAATTTTTGCTAAAGCTACATTTAATTGACTTTTTCTTCAAATTTAATGTCACTGGCAAATGACAGTTCAGTGATTCAGTGTTATCAGTTAGCTTTATTGAAAGACTGACAGATAATAAGAAACTGCATTAGGATATTTTTATACTGTTTTTACTGTTGCACACATAAAAAAAATCTTCAGATATCAAATGTAAGTTAATTCTATGGAGCCCACTATTGTTTGCAATTTTACCAATGTTTTACTTACCTGCAAATAATTATAGCTGTAATTGTATCTAATGTTTTTCTTACCTGGATGTGAAGTTTGAAGATCCACAGGTAACAAAATCACTTTGGTATCTAAAGACCAAGAACATGCATTTTAGAATGAGGTGCATACAATTTAAATGGTTCTGTAAACATCAGTTGTAAATGTAATTTAAGTTAAAATAAATTGTAAATCTGTAATTTATTCACTATGCAGCATTAAAAAACTTATGGACTAAATCTCTAAAACACAAACTTTAAGTTATACTTTCTCTTACGTTAAACACAAACTACTTAACTGTTGCATACGTTTCTGAATTTAATATCCATCCTTAATGTGCTGCTATAACTTAGGTGAGCTAACTTTAGCTAAGTTAGCGCTAACAAACTGAACCCACACACCCCGACCGCCCACCAGTGACCTTGTTAATCGGTTCTGCAACGTTAGTTTTACCTACTAAGTGTTTTAAAACTACTTTCACTATTTTTCTCAATAATATCACTTTTAATCGTTAGTATAAACTAGCGTTGGTTAGCGTTAGCCAACTTAGCTTTCCATGTGAGAGCAGTCTAACTGTTAACATACCTGAGGCTACAGTACAATTTACAAAGCTAAAACCTCACCTGCCTAGCGAAGACAGCAGTTTTGCATGACTTTACAATTATCATTCGGCTAAATTTGCAACTTACCGTGTTAATCAGATCCGCTGCTGGGAGCAGTTAATGTCGACCATTGCAGAAGCTGCGTCTGCCTGCTAAATCCCGGGCAATGAAAAAGGAGTCACGCCAAACTATTAAAATCACGTTTTATGAACACCTGCCCACATCGACAGCTGCTCTAATAAATTGTCTGTGTCAACTCACTTTTATAACATTTATTCTACACAATAACCACGTACAAAAATCTACTCAAATAAATTGCATTAGTTTTATTTAAAATATACAGTTATATAAAAACTGATATATTTTAAGTAAAGAGGAAGCAAATTTTATTTTTTTGGTATAAAACAAATAAAATTAACTAGATTGCAATTATTTAAAGTAGATAGAACCAACTTTGTGAGTGTAGCACTTTTTACAGTGTAGCTGCTGTCTTCTCCGATTCCTTCATGCACAAGACCCAGAAAACTTTTCTAAGCCCTAGATATCGCGCATGACAGTCCACCTTAACAGCTTGTCTGTCCCCCAGAACTATAGTTATAAACCAAAGCTGTCTCTTTGATAAAATATTGCCAAAGTTTGTTTTTGTTTATCCCACAAATTCCTCTTCAGAATGGCTTGGGGTTTATTTTTAAATCACAATACTGATATGAGAGATTCTATTGAGATGTCAGTGAAAATAATAATTGCTATTTCCTTTCCGTTTCAGGAGCAGTTCACAAACGAATGCAAATTCAGAGAAAAGCTCCTCGCAAATAATTACAATGCGTACGAATCGCTGGCACATCCTGGGATGTACATCGGACTAAGTAAGGCTGGCAAAACAAAGAAAGGAAACCGAGTATCAACATCCATGACGATGACACATTTCTTGCCTAGAATTTGAGCTCATTTTGGACGGGCGTAAGGCGGAGGAACGACGATGCACTTTCTACCAGAAGTTAAATGTGAGGTTAAGTGTATCGTGTCATGATGTATGTATATATTAGACTATTTATAACTGTTGGTTTTATATTTCATCACACCGTCCTCTTTGCGAGGTGGAAGACAACAATTAATTTATTTGTTATTTGTTAATTTATCCTCATTGCTGCTACCACGTGTTCATATACAAGTGAAATTCCTACAAATGTAAACATATCTTTTTTTGCACTGTTTGTGTTGTTCTAATGCGTTTTGGGGAGGTAGTCAAAAATACGCCATATTTAATTTGAGTTTTTTAGGACAAACAGTATCCAAAAGTGTTCAAAAGACGTATTTTAAAAGTCTGCAATCAACTGACAACAAGAAACGCGATTCCTCGCGTCCTAATTTTTAACCGCGAAAAATTAAATATGGCGGCAACGCTGACTACGGTCTATTTGTCCTTCGTCGGAAATAATATGTAAGTCTTAGGTCAAGCCTCCAATCGTTAAGGTGTATCAACCCCCATAGTATTAGCACTGGAGCAATTGTCCAATGTCTGGGCTCCTTTGTGCGGAGCTCGGATCTAACTGAAGCAGTATCGGCTTACTCTAGCTTACTGAAGTTCTACCCCTTCAAATCTGTTTTTAGCTCTGCCGGGGGGTTGAACTTTGAACTTATCTGCAGTCAATCTTTGTCACATCTCTAAGGCTCTAGATCAAGAGAAGTAGCTTCTTTAACATAGAGACATGAATTTTTAAAAATCCAAAGGGATTGCCATGCATATACCGTATACCCTGAGCCCTTTGGACAGACAATGTCAAGTTCAAGTCAAGTTTCTGCTGTGGATTTTGGAAGATATGAAGATCAGTATTTTTATGATGGTAACACAAAAAAAAAAGAAATGACAGTGTTGTGTATAAGAGTTAGCGTAAATACAAATGTCACAACTTCCACAGTGAGTTACAAGAAGGCGTTTACCCACTTTGTTTGTCGTTTTCTACCTCATGCAGTTTCCAACTGACATTTCCTACTTTGAAAATCAGCTGACACCGAATGTTTAGCTCTAAGTTGCTCTTCTGAGGCTCCTGCCACTCTGAAGTTCTGGCGGCCATTGCGTCCTAGTTGCGCCTTGTCACGTTTGAGCTATCTTTACCCTGTGATTTACTTTTAGAAAGGATAATCATGTTGGAAATATTTGCAGACAGCTGTTAGACTACACTATATGCTCAACAAGTAACTCTATATTTTTCTTAACATATTTTGTAAATATGGTGCAAAACTCAGAAGCTGCTTTAAACTTATATGGCGTTAGATATATTAATAGTAAGATATGATACACTCATGCAGGGATTAACAGGTTTTCCATCTTATAAACATATATTTGAGCAATATTATCTTTAAAAAGCATTCCTTACTGTCATCGTCAGGTACATTTCATTGAGAGAATCTAAAAATGTACCTGTACTTGAGTGTAATTCTGAACTGAAAATGAACAGATAGTCTTTTGGGGTTCAAGAAAACCATTTAGGAATAAAAAAAAAGAAACTGAAGCTAAACTGACCGGTTGACCTCAAAAGCATCAACACATTCGTATAGTTTCATTTACTGTAATTTTAACTGTTACATGTCCAAATTTGTTTCTTAATATGCCCTGCCTGGATGTGCACATCAATTAGTTTCACTTGATGACTCTAAGCTACCTAAGCTAATGCTGGAGGAGGGAAGGGTTGTCTGTCTTTCTCTTTTCCACATCTGTGCCAAACCTCTTTCCAAATGGACGTGATTTGCATCAGTGTGGATGTTGTTTACAATAGACCCAATGGCCACTGAAGGCAAATTGCTCGTCTGACCCTCATCACAAATCACTGGACTTGATTTGTTTAACCAAAAAAATGCAATATCAACAGGCATGACCTAGTAGCCTGAGATTAGTGGAAACAGCCACTCCAACACAACAATGTTCCAAATTTTGCCATTGTCTGGATGTGCTTATGAACAGGGATGTATGCTGTGTATTGAAATCAATTTTCTCTGTCAATTCCCATAAGGTTTATCGATAGCAGAGCTCTAAAGTAAATGGGCTAATGTCTGAGTCCTGTCGTAGTGCGCTCTGAATCCTGTTTTACCAAATATTGTCTGTAGTTTTATACAGGTCTTGTTAAATATTGTGATGTATGTGCTGTGCACATGATGATACCCTAACTTAAATGGAAGTTAATAAATATGTAAATCATGCAATCTGAGTGTTTTCAATTTTTCCTATAAAAGCAAATGACGGTTCAATGAAACCGACAGCTGTGATGGCACAAAACACGTAAAACTAGAATATCTCCCAGTATAACTATAGAAAGGGGCCTTTCCCTGCTGGAGCTAAAAATATGCTCACAGACTTGTGTCACTAGACTATGTGGGCCCGCCTGGAGTGCCATGCCTGATATTTCTACAAGGACAGCTCTGCCAAGACACTCTGGTGCTGTTATTTAACTTGCCAAGGCCTAGTTTACAGATTGGGTGGTTTTGTCATCCGCACAGCCAAGCGGTCACTCCTGGGAGTGGAAAGCACTCTTTTGCTTGTGTGAATGTTTCCAAAGGTTCAGAAGAGGATTCCGCAGTAGCCCTTCCAGGCATGCGGTTCCATGAAAGGGGACCCGTTTAAAGTGGTTTGGGCCCTTCCTTTTTCTGTGTGCTGACTAATGAGCAGATATGTCAGACTAGTCTTTGTGAAGCCATGATTGGCTTTTACTTTAGATCAACTGCCAGGGCTATTGTCTTTCTTTAGTACAATCCACAAACTGACGTTTTATGCAAACAGAGTTATGCATTTCCATTTTTTACTGGCACGTAAGTGTAGGATGACAAATGGAGACGTGAATGACAAAGAACAATCCACATCTGCCCTAATATCCACTCAACTGTCTATTTGTAACAACAGTTTGAAGTGTGGATATTACATACATTTCTCCTATAAGTGGATAATTAGTAGATAATGTGCCTAATATATAAAATTAAATCTTGATTTAAAAGTTTCGAATAGTTTTACAACACTTATTTAATTTGATGTATTTATTATATTTTATTATTATTATTATTATTTTCAATTTGATAAATCTAAAAACATAATAATATAATTAGCAAATAATTAACTGTAACCTATATCTTGAATACATCTATTAGAATTTTTCTTAATTACAGAAAAAAAACAATTTCTTTTTTACAAATATAATTAATTATTTATTTAATAATGATTAGATTCTCATTTAGTTTCTGCATCAATTAAAATTTACTAAATTAATTTTATATACATACACTGTAGAGAAATCATGTTTGCCTTACATTTTTAAGCTCAATCAAATTAACCTTATGCGTCCATTAAACTTATGTTAAACACAATATAGGCTCATTATGAAATCGTAGCATACATTTCTGGAGATCGCAAATTATTCCAAAAAGCAGGTAAAACATAAACAAAAGGCAAAAAATAAAATAAACAAGTAAATAACAGGGTGAGAATGTGGTAAAATGTGAAAATGTAAAAATCAGGTGAGGGCTTTTCTTTTTCTGGATTGCTTTTTCGAAATTGTCGATGGGTTTGGGGAAGTGGGTGGAAGTGTGCTGGTCAATCTGTGTTTTTAAAAACACTTTTGGTTGAGCTTAGGGAAGGAGGAGGGTGGGTCAGTCGATGAGTCAGTCAGTCAGTCAGTCAGTCAGTCAATTGCCAGCGGCCTCTAGTAGATTTACGCAAGAACAGCAGGCGTGAATAGCACTCACAAGAGAAGTCTAATATCTGAAAAATCGTACACAGCGGCATCTCACCAAAAATGTTATAGCGGTACGTTTTCAGAATGAGCCTGGGTTGGTTAAACTGACTTAAAACAGCTTGCGTAACTTCTAAAATTACATTAGAATATTATTAACTCATGTAATAATATAAACATATGCTGTCATGACTAATTGTCCATATAATTTTTTTACAGTGTAGATATTATACTGAATATTCATTGAAATATACATAAAAAAGATGTTTAACATCTTTCAACATAAAATCAAAGCTTACAATAAAAAATGCATGAATGACCCTAAAGGACAGTTTTGTTTATTTAGGTAAATCATGGTGAACATGCTCAGAATTAAAGAGACTGCTAGGGATTCTACCATACAGCTGGTGTAACAAGGCACAAGATGTGTTTGGTGCAGCATTTTTTTTTTTTTTTTTTTTTGCTATTTTCAGACCAGAGCAACCTTAATTTTCACATTTTGCGCCACCTTTTAAAATAAAAACAAGCTTAGATTTGTCCATCTGTCAGGTTTTGAAGACGTATGCATCACCATATGGGGCATAAGAATAGGATGTAGGTTTGGATATAACTCAGTTATTTAACCACACTTCGTTATTTTTGTTCATTTATTTGTTTGCTGAAAATTAGAACTAAATTTAGATCTTGTTTTGAAACAAATCTTTATGTTTAACAAACAAAATTAAATATATAGGCTAACTTTTTCAGTGGATAGTGTACGATACCTTTCCTTATTCACAAAAGTAAATGAGTAAAGTAAAGAGGCTAATTGGAGAATTCTCGTTCTTTATCCTGGTGCCGGTTTTCTCGCTAGTGAAGTGTTTTTTCACTTACAAAGTCAGCCATGTAAATAGCAAATGTGTCATGGTGCAACTGACTCTGAAAGGGAAAGGGAGATGAGACTCTGATTGGCTTAAAGCACGTTATGCTCAAAAACACACCTATAAGTCATTAAGAGAATAAAGCACAAACCTGTACTGCAGGGCGCAAACTGTATTTTTCAGTCGTTAATGCTTTTGCGATATGCACTTTAGATTTTGCGCCTAGATCGTTAAAATGGAGTCCTTAATGTACTAAGAAAAAAACTCCCCTTTATCTTTGACCCAAACATATTATTTTTAGGAAGTGACACTATTTTAAACTTTATACTTCATTAAAAAAATTCAAAAAAATCCTTAAAATAACATTTAATCATCTTAAAAAGCCCACACTAACAGTTTTTTTTTAGATACTAATTGACCTTGGCATACAATCTATAATATGTTAAACACTTTATGACTGCTCTTTGTATCTCTGTAATACAAACTTTCAACTCATCCACTTTTAGTCCTTTCAAAATACAAACTGAGCTTTTTAATTCAGAAAATAAAGCAAATTTTTAGTATACTGAAGATAGCATATGCATGAACTGCTTTTAAAATGAATTATAAACCACATCATTGATCCCTAATTTACAATACACAGTCTGCCCATTGAAATGAAGCTTTCAATTTAAAGAGGGACAGGCAAAGTGAGACAGGTGTGGTCACTTAATACACATGTATTCCTGGCCATGAGCTGGGCTAAATGGAGGCCTATCATTGCCCAAAAAGAATGACAACTTTTTGCTCCAATAAACTTGTACGAGGGCAGTAAAGGCCTTCCTAAAAATAGTTTCTCCTCACCGCCTGTATGCGTCAGTTTCATTGTCTGTCAACCAAATAAACATCCATCCACCTCTCAAGTGCCTCTTCTCCATTAAGTTGTTTGGCCCAAAACTGTCTTTATATCATAACAGGCCTTTCAAGTTCTCCAGAGCACAAAGACTTCACAAGACAGGTCAATGGCTTAACAGCTCACAACAATGTGTTCGCTAACAGAAAGCATATTGGGAGTAATTCCCTTGCTGATGCTCTGGCAGCCAGGTGGAGGCTTTGAGGAGGAGGAGGAGGAAGGTGGAACATTTGGGCTACTGTGGCTTAGTCTGTGGTTGTGTTTTTAGGCCTTCCTTGAGAAAGAACAGAGAGGTTGTGCCACCATGTAGTGCTCTTACAGGGCAAGCCAAAACCACTTATGTTACAAATAACATTTGCTCAAGCCTTGATATTGTGTGTATTTTAAAAGGATTTTAAAACATATTTCATCTGTTATGTTGTCTGCATTTAGTTCTGCTTGATGTAGAAAAGCTGTGATATTGTGAAATGCGAGAAATGAAAGCATTTTTTTAGAAATGTAACTTACCTAAAAACTGTAAGTAGTCATGCATTATGATTCTTCAGAAAGAAAGAAAGAGAAAGAGAAAGAAAAAAAGTATGAAAAGAAAGAAAAAGTAAAAGAAAGAAAGAAAGAAAGAAAGAAAGTAAAACTTAATGAAAGAGAGAGAAAAAGAAATAAAGGAAAATATAATGAGGGAAAGAAAGAAAATGGAAGAAAGAAAAAGAAAGAAAGAAAGAAATAAAGAAAGAAAGAAAGGGGAAAAAAGAATGAGATAAAGAAAGATAAAAAAGAAAGAAAGAAAGAAAGAAAGGGGAAAAAGAATGAGAGAAAGAAAGATAAAAAAGAAAGAAAGAAAGAAAGAAAGAAAGAAAGAAAGAAAGAAAGAAAGAAAGAAAGAAAGAAAGAAAGAAAGAATTTGATAAAAAAGACAGACAGACTGAACGACAGACAGTAAGAACAGACAAATAGATAGACAGGTAAATAATAACAGACAAATAGACAGACAGAATGACAGACAGATCAAACTGATGGAGGCAGACAGACAGATAAAACAGACTAACAGAGAGAGACAGATAAATAAAAAAAGACCAATAGACACAGACAAAGACAGAATGACAGAGATGGACAGACAGACAGAAAAAAAGAGAAAAATAGTCAGAGACAGACAGATAAATACAAACAGACAGACAGACAGACAGACAGGAAGGTTAAAAAACAGAAAAACAGACAGACAGACAGAAAGACAAAAAGGTAAATAAAAAAACCCAGAAAAACAGACAGACAGAAAGGTAAATAAAAACAGGCAAATAGACAAACACAGGCAGGAAACACACACACACACACACACACACACACACACACACACACACACACACACACACACACACACACACACACACACACACACACACACACACACACACACACACACACACACACACACACACACACACACACACACACAAAAACAGATAGAAAGGTATAAACAAAAAGACAAATGGACACAGACAGAGACAGAATGACAGAGATGGATAGACAGACAGATAAAAGAGACAAATAGACAGAGACAGACAGATAAATAAAAACAGACAGACAGACAGGAAGGTTAAAAACAGAAAAAACAGATAGACAGACAGACAGACAGACAGACAGACAGACAGACAGACAGAAAAACAAAAAGGTAAAAAAAAAAAACAGACAAAGACAGACAGGAAGGTTAAAACACAGAAAACCGGACAGAAAGGT